TCAGTGAGTTGGAGGAGTGGGGCTCAAAGCTCAGTTCGACTCCAATTGACTCAGTGGCCAGGAATATTTTTATAGGAGGGTCGACAATGTCACTGGATGAGTAATGCAGAGGCCCAGGTGAATGCTTTGGAGACGCCGGTTCAAATCTCATTGCCCCAGTAGCTGTTGGAATGAGAAGCTAGTCCGACTGATGGTAACCATAGACTACTATGAATTATTGTAAAAAGCCACCTGGTTAGGGAGGGAAACTTGCCGTATTTACCCAGTCTGGGCATACACACGACTCCAGACCCACAGCCATGGGGTTGACTCTGAAATGTTTCGCCCATGCTATTCAGTTCAAGGGTAATTAGGGATGGGTAGCAAATACTGATCTTGCCAGTCACACACTCAACCCACGAAGGGACACGGAAGAAAGGGGTTCCAACGGAAAAGCCCACGAGTATAGCTCCCTCCCACTCTGCCCTGTGTTCCTGCAGCTTATCCATTCCACACAGAAACTGGGGAAGTCCAGGTCACCTACGGATATGATCTATTTGATGCTACTGACACAGCTCAAGAAACCGAGGTTTGATGCACAACTCTGCCCTCAGCAACGACCTCTCGTCATTGTTAGCTCCTGATTCAAATCAGTACAGATGTGTGACAAATCTCACAGTGAAAGCAGTCATACCAGGGCCGATAAAAGTCACCGACCGTCTTACCAGCCCATCGGGCTGCTCCGCCATTAGACAGAGAGAGAGAGAGAGGAGGGAGGGGTTTACCTGAAGGGGCTCCATGCCTCAGGCGAGGAGAAGAGATTGAGAAGGAGAGTTCTCCATGGTAACCTCACCCAGTGCAGGAACTGACCCCACGCTGTTGGCATCACAAAACCAGCCATTCAGTGAATTGAGCTAACCAGTCTCCCCGGGACTGAATATAATGTTGTTATATAAATAGGTAAAACAAAACGTGTAGTTAATGAGGCACGATGTATTTGTGATCCTTCCAAACAGTCAGCGTTTGTACTCTAAATTTCACAATGTTATAAGTTCTGCCTTTGCAACTGAAGTAATGTTGTGTTCGAAATATTTACCTGATTTGTCAGGAGCTTGCAAAGCTATGGTTGTATTTCTTCTTCCAAGTGACTCTGCTTGCCTGCTGTCTGTGGTGAGAAGCTCTTTTATCCGTGTGTACAGCTCTCCCAAACGCTGAAAACTTCCTGCTGCAGTTTCGATGGATCTAACTTTATTGTCATGCAAAACTTCTCTTTTAGTTAGTTCTGGTTTTGTTGCATTTACTCTTTGAATCCAAGGTTGAGAGTTTCCGTTAAGATCACAAAATAAAGCACTGAAAATGACGAGTCTCGATCATTTGCTTGTTTTATTTCTCGCAGGTTAATATTAATCTTCGTATTGCACCTTCCCCTTTCTGTTCATCTGTCCCACTTAGCCGATCCTGGAGCAATTTGAACCAAAACTGCGATCAGGTGAGGAATTCCACAGAATGGTGAAAAGTTGATTTTACACCAAGTCCAAGAGAGAGAAATGGCTCAGATGCATAAAATTCTGAGGGGCATAGGCCAGAGGCAACATTTTCCCCTGGTCGATGGATCAATGGCCTTGGGAGGCGTGGGTGGGAGGCATAGACTGAAAGTAAGGGGCAGAAGATTTAGAGGGGTTGTGAGGAAAAGCTGTTTCACCCAGAAGGTGGTGAGAATCTGCCAGTTCCTTGGCATCTGGGACACTTGCTTTTATCAATTGAGGCACAGATTCTAAGAGCAGAGAGGTTGTGTTGGAGCTGCACAGGGCTTTGATTAGGCCATAACTGGAGTGCTGTGTGTAGTTCTGGTCACCACACTACAGGAAGGATGTGTTTGCACTGAATTCACCAGGATGTTGCCTAGGTTGGAGGCTGAGGGGCGATCTTATTGAGGCTTATAAAATCCTGAGGGGCATGGATAGGGGAATAGCCAAGGTCTTTTCCCCAGGGTCAGGGAGTCCAAAACTAGAGGTGAGAGAAGAAAGATTTAAAAGGGACCTGAGGGGCAACTTTTTTCACGCAGAGGGTGGTGTGTTTATGGAATGAGCTGCCAGAGGAAATGGTGGAGGCTGGTACAATGACAACATTTAAAAGGCATCTGGATGGGTATATGAATAGGAAGGGTTTAGAGGGATATGGGCCAAATGCTGGAAAATGGGACTAGATTAATTTAGAACATCTGGTCAGCATGAACGAGTTGGACTGAAGAGTCTGTTTCTGCATTGTACAACTGTGTTGACTTCAGGAGTATGTTGCATTGAGAGGACATACACCCAGCATTGTATCCGCTCCTGTTAGTTACTGTCTGCATTATTCAAGTTAAAATGATTCCAGTGCTCATTGAGAGTGAGGAGACGCTGACAAGGAGGTTACAAACTGAGTCCTTTCTGTTTTAGTTCTACCTGCTTTGTGCTAGGTTGGTGTGCTGGACAAACAGAGTATTGAGGCTGTATAGTCCAACTGCAGGCCTCTCCAATGCATGGGTAATGCTTGCCATAAGTATACGCAGTCTCGGACAGATGCGAAGTAGAGGTTTGATGAATACCAACCTTGCCTTGCAGACAGATCTTCTGTGGGCGAGATCTGTTTCTCCAGTAGGTTCTTTGAAGCTGGCCTTTGGATCAAATTGTGAATGGGACTCTCTGCCAGATTGCCTTTACAATAACTTCTTTTGTAAAAACAAATGCAACTTTCAAATCGCAAAACACAAGAAAGTCAAAACTGCAAATTGGAAACAAAAAGAGGACTCGCCAGAAATAAGTGACAATTCGCTTGCAATCTCTCTAGCGTGTCGGAAGCTGAGGGGTGACTTTATAGAAGTTTATAAAATCATGAGGGGCATGGATAGGGTGAATATTTAAAGTCTTTTTCCCCAGGGTCAGGGAGTCCAAACATAGAGGGCATAGTTTAAGGTGAGAGGGGAAAGATTCAAAAGGGACCTAAGGGATGACTTCTACACGCACAGAGGGTGGCGTGTGTATGGAATGAGTTGCCAGAGAAAGTGGTGGAGGCTGGCACAGTTACAACATTTAAAAAGGCTTCTGGATGGCTACATGAATAGAAAGGATTCAGAGGAATATGGACCAAATGCTGGCAAATGGGACCAAATTAATGTAGAATATCTGGTCTGCTTGGACGAGTTGGACTAAAGCGTCTGTTTCTGTTCTGTACATCTCTCTGACTCTGTGGCAGTTTTGCTGGTCTCATTAACAAATTCATTGAAGCTTGGCCCAATATCAAACAATCCTCACCATCTTCCCCGTAATCCTTGATCAACTTACTGAGTAAAATTCTGTCAAACATGCAAGGCAGAACTACCATATGATCTACCGAACTGTTCCTCAAGATCTTATATCTAAACGCTTGTATCATATGCCATTTCTGAAGATTAATTGAATTATATATTGTGGGGAGGCAGTGATCTGACAGTAACTGTACTGGATTAATAATCCAAAGGCTGATACTAAAGCGGTGAAGGGGAGCACAGATTCATAGCCCACTATGGCATCTAGTGAAATATAAATTCAATTAACAAAATGTGGAATGGACAGTCAACAGTGACCACACCAACTATTACTGATTGTTGTAAAAACCTCACTAATGTCTGTTATGGAAGGAAGTCCACCATCCCTACCAGGTCTGGGCTACAGGTTGACTCCAGACTCACAACAATGGAGGATGAAATTATCAGCCATTCAGTTTGAGGGGAACTGGGGAATGGGGAATAAAAATGCTGACCCTGAAAGAATGAAGGGAACAACATGAGCTTGGGTGATATTATATAGAATGAGTTTCCTGCTGCCTGGAGGTCTGATTCAGTCATACAGTCACAGAGCATGGAAACAGACCCTTTGTTTCAACCAGTCCATACCGACCACAATCCCAAACTAAACTAAAAACTGAAAAAAACTGCAGATGCTGGAAATCAGAAACAAAAACAGAAATTGTTGGGGGGCAGGGTTTGGCACAGTGGCTCAGTGATTAGTACTGCTACCTCACAGCACCAGGGACCCAGGTTCAATTCCATCCTCAGACAACTGTCTGTGTGGAGTTTGCACTTTCTCCCCATTCTGTATGGGTTTTCTCTAGGTACTCCAGTTTCCTCCCACAGCCCAGAGATGTGGAGACTGGGTGGATTGGCCATGTTAAATTGCCTCATAGTGTTCAGGGATGTGTAGATTAGGTTGGTTTACAGGGGGATCGGTCTGGGTGGGATGCTCTGAGAGTCAGTGTGGACTTGTTGGGCCAAAGGGCCTATTTCCACACCATAGGGATTTTGTGGAATATCTACTTAGCAGTATCTGTGAACAGAGTTGACATTTTTCTGGTCCCACCTGCCTGCGCTTGGCCCATATCCCTCCAAACATTTCCAATTCACGTACATATCCAAATGACTATTAAACAAGGTAACTGTACCCACATCCACCACTTCCTCTGGAAGTTTATTCCACAAACAAACCAGTCTCTGGGTAAAAAAACTGCCCCTCATGTCTTTTTAAAATATTTCTCTTCTCACCTTAAAAATGTGCCCTCTAGTCTTGAAATCCCCCACCTTGGATAAAAGTACCTGCCATTCATAGAATCCCTACAGTGTGGAAACAGGCCCTTTGGCCCAACAAGTCCACACCAAACCTCAGAGCAACCCACCCTGATCCATCCCCAAACACTATGGGCAATTTAGCGTGGCCAATCCATCTAACCTGTACATCTTTGGAATGTGGGAAGGAAACCCATGCAGACACACAGTCGCCTGAGGCTAGAATCGAACCCAGGTCCCTGGCACGGTGGCACAGTGGTTAGCACTGCTGCCCCATCTTATCTATACCCCTTATGATTTTATGTGCCTCTGTACGGTCACCCCCGCCCAGTGAACAAAGTCCCAGCCTCTCCTCATAACTCAAATAGCTTCCATTCGTGGCAACACCCTGTCGCAGCAAGTTTCTGGGAGTGACAGCTCTCCGCCCATGTCCAGGGGCGGGTCTCACACGGATTTTGTGACGGCAAACCGGGAAATGAAACTGAAAAAAGGTTTGCAAGGTCCGTGACTTGGAGACAGTAAGGACTGTAGATGCTGGAAGCCCGGAATGTGGACTTTCCTGCTCCTGGAGTGCTCTGTGTGTGTGTGTGCTTTTCCAGCCTCGCGTCTATTGACTCTTGGCAACGTCAGTTTCGGCTTGGCTGGCTTTAATTCTGCCGGAGGCTTTCTGTGAGTGTGTACGGGCAAGAAATTGTACATAACGTGTAAAGCTCTTCCTCCCTGTTGCTGAGGGAAATAGCCAAGGAGCTGCGTTCGGAGGAGGGGGAAGCTGAGAGACAGTGCTGCCTGGGCTGAGGGGATAAAGCCTTTCACGGGGACCGAGCCCCCCGCCCGCTGACATGTGCAGAGAGAACGGGCAGTTCTCTCCAGGAACATCCGAGACACCAGCAGGAGCTGAAAATTTCCTGTAAAACCCACCAGCAGCTGCTGTCCGAGGATTCCAAAACCCACAGGATCGTCCCTGTCCAAGAGGCTGCCGAGGAGCTGATCTATCCGGTGAACAGTTTTTCAGAAATTCCTCTCTACTGGAGTTTAACCTTTGTTCCTCATCCGGCCAACAGGAAGCACTTGTCATTGCCCGGAGAGCCAGCCTTCAGAGGGAGGGAGGGAGAGAGAGAAGAAGGGTCGAGCCCGAAACGTCAGCCTTCCTGCTCCTCTGATGCTGCTTGGCCTGCTGTGTTCATCCAGCTCTGCACCTTGTTATTCTCAGAGAGAGATGTTTACTGTTTTTGTTACTGAAAAGTGGCAGCGTTACCATTTTTTACAGAGTTATTTGTTTCTGCTGTGTTAATTCCCCATCACTAATCGCCCTGGGGGGTGGGAGGGGGTGCAGAGAGAGGGCTGGATTGATTTGAGTTCTTGTATCTGCTAAACTGGGCAAATTCGCATTCTCCTCACATCTGCCGTTGAGCTGAACCCAACAATCTTCCTGCATGGTCCAGCTCTCAATCCCAGATTTGCTGCTTGCATTTAAATCCTACAAGCTGTCTGGTTGGGGATTGAACCCACATTCCTTGGGGGGGGGGCTCTGTGCCCCCACCCACCCCCTTACAAAGTGCAGCCTGTTCCCCCACAGACCCACCCAGCTGGCTAAGGCCAGGGATTGGTGGGAGATGATTCAGAGATAGTAGGAACTGCAGATGCTGGAGAATCTGAGATAACAAGGTGCAGAGGCCAAGCAGCATCAGAGGAGCAGGAAGCAGAAATGGGGGAGGGGAAGGGGGTTCTGAAATAAATAGGGAGAGGGGGGAGGCGGATAGAAGATGGATAGAGGAGAAGATAGGTGGAGAGGAGACAGACAGGTCACAGAGGCAGGGATGGAGCCAGTAAAGGTGAGTGTAGGTGGGGAGTTAGGGAGGGGATAGGTCAGTCCAGGGAGGACGGACAGGTCAAGGGGCGGGATGAGGTTAGTAGGTAGGAGATGGGGGTGGGGCTTGAGGCGGGAGGAAGAACAGGTTAGGGAGGCGGGGACGAGCTGGGCTGGTTTTGGGATGCGGTAGGGGAAGGGGAGATTGGAGGAAATGGAGGCGGTGGCACATCAACGAATACCGCCTCCATTTCCGAGGCCAACACCATCGACACTGAGGACGCCCACCGCCGCCCCGGCCCCGCCCACTGCAGACTCGGCCCCCCCCCCCCACAGCGCCCCCGCCCGCCACCGACGCCCCGCCCACCCCCGACTCGGCCCCGCCCACAGCAGGCTCGACCCCGCCCACCGACACCGCCCCGGCCCCGCCCACCGCCGACTCGGCCCCGCCCGCCGACGCCGCCCCGCCCACCGCCGACTCGGCCCCGCCCACCACCTCCACAGCCAGCTGCTCCAGAGGAGACTGTAGCCCCAAGCCCTGCCGAGTCTTCACCATCCCCCTCCACCCCCAGACCTACCCCTCACCGAGGGTGAACGGTCAGTCCTCAGTAAAGGGCTCACCTTTGTCCCCCTCCACCCACACATCAACAAATACCACTCAGGCTTGGACATAGAGCAGTTTTTCCGCCGCCTCCGCCTCCACGCTTACTTCTTCAACCGTGAGCCGAACCCTCCCTCTACTGACCCCTTCTCCCGCTTCCAACACACCCCCTCCTCCTGGACACCACCCCAAGGCCTCCTACCCTCCCTCGACCTCTTCATCTCCAACTGCCGTCGAGACATCAATCACCTCAACCTCTCCACCCCTCTCACCCACTCCAACCTCTCCACCCCTCTCACCCACTCCAACCTCTCCTGCGCAGAACGTGCAGCCCTCCGCTCCCTCCGCTCCAACCCCAACTTCACCATAAAACCCATGGACAAGGGAGGCGCAGTTGTAGTATGGCGCACTGACCTCTACATCGCCGAGGCCAGACGCCAACTCTCCAACACCTCCTCCGACCGCCCCCTTGATCATGACCCCACCCCTGACCACCAAACCATCATCTCCCAAACCATCCACAACCTCATCACCTCAGGTGATCTTCCACCCATGGCCTCCAACCTCATCGTTCCCCAACCTCGCACTGCCCGCTTCTATCTCCTTCCCAAAATCCACAAACCTGACTGTCCTGGTTGACCCATTGTCTCCACCTGCTCCTGCCCCACCAAACTTATCTCCACCTATCTGGACTCCATTTTCTATCCCTTGGTCCAGGAACTCCCTACCTACGTCCGTGACACCACCCACGCCCTCCACCTCCTCCATAACTTCCAATTCCCCGGTCCCCAACACTTCATCTTTACCATGGATGTCCAGTCCCTCTACACCAGCATTCCCCATACAGATGGCCTAAAGGCCCTCGGCTTCTTCCTGTCCCACAGGCCCGACCAGTCCCCCTCCACTGACACCCTCATCCGCTTAGCCGAACTCGTCCTCACCCTCAACAACTTCTCTTTAAATTCCTCCCACTTTCTACAGACAAAGGGGGTGGCCATGGGTACCCGCATGGGCCCAAGTTATGCCTGCCTCTTTGTAGGTTACGTGGAACAATCCCTCTTCCGTAGCTACACTGGCCCTAAACCCCACCTCTTCATCCGTTACATTGATGACTGTATCGGCGCCGCCTCATGCTCCCACGAGGAGCTTGAACAGTTCATCCACCTCACCAACACCTTCCACCCCAACCTTAAGTTCACCTGGACCATCTCTAATACCTCTCTCTCCTTCCTGGACCTCTCTGTCTCCATATCGGGCAACCACCTAGAAACCGATATCCATTTCAAGCCCACCGACTCCCACAGCTACCTAGAATACACCTCCTCCCACCCACCTTCCTGCAAAAATTCCATCCCCTTTTCCCAATTCCTTTGCCTCCGCCGCATCTGCTCCCAGGATGAGGCATTCCACTCCCGTACATCTCAGATGTCCTCGTTTTTCAAGGACCGCAAGATCGCCCCCCTCAGTGGTTGAGAACACCCTCCACTGTGTCTCCCCATTTCCCGCAACTCATCCCTCACACCCCCTCCCTGCAATAACAACCAAAACAGAATCCCCCTCGTCCTCACGTACCACCCCACCAACCTCTGGATCCAACGCATCATCCTCCAACACTTCCGCCATCTGCAATCCAACGCCACCACCAAAGACATCTTTCCCTCCCCCACCCTTATCTGCTTTCCGGAGGGACCACTCTCTCCGTGACTCCCTTGTCCGCTCCACACTCCCCTCCAGCCCCACCACACCCGGCACTTTTCCCTGCAACCGCAGGAAGTGCTACACCTGCCCCTACACCTACCCCCTCACCCTCATCCCAGGCCCCAAGAAGACTTTCCACATCAAGCAGATGTTCACCTGCACATCTGCCAATGTGGTATACTGTATCCGCTGTTGCCGTTGTGGCCTCCTCTACATCGGGGAAACCAAGCAGAGGCTTGGAGACCGCTTTGCAGAACACCTATGCTCGGTTCGCACTAAACAACTGCACCTCCCAGTCGCGAACCATTTCAACTCCCCCTCCCATTCCTCAGATGACATGTCCATCCTGGGCCTCCTGCAGTGCCACAACGATGCTACCCGAAAGTTGCAGGAACAGCAACTCATATTCCGCTTGGGAACCCTGCAGCCCAATGGTATCAATATGGACTTCACAAGCTTCAAAATCTCCCCTCCCCCTACCGCATCCCAAAACCAGCCCAGCTTGTCCCCGCCTCCCTAACCTGTTCTTCCTCCCAACTATCCCCTCCTCCCACCTCAAGCCCCACCCCCATCTCCTGCCTACTAGCCTCATCCCGCCCCCTTGACCTGTCCGTCCTCCCTGGACTGACCTATCTCCTCCCTACCTCCCCACCTACACTCACCTTTACTGGCCCCAACCCCGCCTCTTTGACCTGTCTGTCTCCTTTCCACTCTTCTCCTCTATCCATCTTCTATCCGCCTCCCCTATCTCCCTATTTATTTCAGAACCCCCTTCCCTTCCCCCATTTCTGAAGAAGGGCCTAGGCCCGAAACGTCAGCCTTCCTGCTCCTCTGATGCTGCTTGGCCTGCTGTGTTCATCCAGCTCTACACCTTGTTATCATTGGTGGAAGATGGACTGGTCAATGATGCCAAAGATCACAGATTTCACCAAGTACTGAATGAGACAGAAAGCTCTCGCTTTTCTTGTCTCTGTCGATCATCTGTGTCATTGATAGGTGACAGGGACCCAACTGGAACTTTGGATTAAGGAGGAAACAAAATATTCAATGATTATAGAGAGGAAAAGGGAAGTTGGGAGATAGTGCACGAAAAGGAGGGGGGCAAGATTTGTTTGCTTTTTGAGGCAAAAGGTAATGATGGCAGCTTTGAAAGGGTGGGTGGGAGGACAGACCATAAGATGTAGGAGCAGAAGTAGGCCATTCAGCCCATCAAATCTGCTCCATCATTTGAACATGGCTGGAATGTTTCTCAGCCTTATTGTCCTGCTTTCTCCCTGTAACCCTTAATCCCATTACTGATCAAGAACCCAGCTATCCCTATCTTAATGCACTCAATGACTTGGCCTCCACGGCTTCTGTGGCAATGAGTTCCAGAGATTCCCCACCCTCTGGCTGAATAAATTCCTCCTCATCTCAATTTTAAAGGGTCATTCCTTCACCCTGAGGCTGTACCCTTGGGACCTAGTCTCTCCTACTTGTGGAAACATATCCACTCTAACCAGGCCTCTCAGTATTCTCTATGTTTCAATCTGATCCCTCCTCGTTCTTCTAAACTCCATTGAGTACAGATCCAGAGTGTTTAATCTCTCTTCATACAACAAGCCCTTCATTCCTGGGATCATTCTTGTAAACCTCCTCTGGACCCCTTTCTGGCTTAGATATGGGGCCCAAAACTGCTCACAATATTCCAAATGCAGTCTGACCAGAGCCTTATACAGCCTCAGCAGCACATCTCTCCTTTTGTTTTCTCGTACTCTCGAAATGAAAGCTAACATTGCATTTGCCAACTGACAGTTGACCCTGCGTTTTAACCTTAAGAGAATCCTAAACTAGGACTCCTAAGTCCCTTTATGCTTCAGATTTCCAAAGCTTTTCCCCATTTTGAAAATAGTCTACTCCTCAATTCTTCCCAACAAATACATAACCTCACACTTGGCCACATTGTATTCAATCTGCCACTTCTTTGCCCACTCACCTAGCATGTACAAGTCCCTCTGCAACTTCCTCCCTTCCTCAGCACTACCTGTCCCTCCACCCGTCTTTGTGTCATCTGCAAACTTAGCAACAATGCCCTCAGTTCCTTCATCCAGATTGTTAATGTATAACATGAAAGTTGTGGTCCTAACATTGACCCCTGTGAAATTCCATTAGTCACTGGCTGCCATCCTGAAAAAGACCCTTTATCCCTACTCTCTGCCTTTTGCCAGTCTGCCAATCCTCTATCCATGCCAGTACCTTACCCCGACCACCATGAGCTTGTATCTTGTTTAGCAGTCTCCTGTGCGATACCTTGTCAAAGGTTTTCTGGAATCTAAATAGATCACACACTCTCCTTTGTCTAATTTTCTCATTACCTCCTCAAAGAATTTCTCCAAATTTGTCAAGCATGACCTTCCCTTGATGAAGCCATGCTGATTCAGCCCTATATGACCCATGACTTCCAAGTACTCTGAATCTCAATCTTAAAAATGCACTCTAAAATTTCACCAACGACTGAGGTCAGGCTAACTGGCCTATAATTACTCGTCTTCTGCCTCCCTCCCTCCTTAAACAGAGGTGTTATTTAAGCCATTTTCCAGTCTTCTGGGGATTCTGACTGACTCCAGTGATTCCTGAAAGATCACCACCAATGCCTCTACAATTTCTCAGCTGTCTCCTTCAGAACCCTAGGGTATCGCCCATCTGCTCCAGGTGGTTTATCCACCTTCAGATCTTTCAGCTTCCCCAGCAACTTCCTTAGTGATGGCCGCTACACTCACTTCTGCCCCCTGACTTTCTTGAAGTTCTGGTTTGCTGCTGGTGTCTTTCACCATGAAGACTGATGCAAAGTACCTATTCAGTTCCTCTGTCATTTCTTTGTCTCTATTCCTACTTCTCCTCAGTTCCTCAAAGAGGAATTGTTAACAGTCTCATTTTAACCTGGGAGCTGGGAATGTGGGGAATCAGCGTAGTCTGAGAATAAAGGCATGACCATTTAGGAGAGATGTTAGGAAGCACTTCTGCACACAAAAGGTGCTAGATATTTAGAACTCTCTTCCACAACAGCAATGGATGCTGGATCAATTGTTCATTTTAAGTCTGAGATAGATAATGTTTGCTAAGTGAAGATATTAACAAATATAGACCAAAGGTAGGAATATGGAGTTTGATCACAGATCAGCCTTGATCTCATTGAGAGCTGGAATGGGCTTGAGGGGCTGAATGGCCTACTCCTGTTCCTCTAGGGGAGGCGGTGGCTTAGTGGTATTATCACTGGACTCTTAATCTAGAGACCCACGTAATGTTCTTGGGATCTGGGTTCAAATCCCACCACGGGAGATGGCAGAATTTAATTCAATTAAAAAAAGTCTAAAGATGGCCATCAATCTACTACTGGTTGTTGGAAAAACCTATCTGGTGCACTAATGTCTTTTACGGAAGGAAAATGCCATCCTTACCTTGTCTGGCCTACACGTGACTCCAGACACACATGCGGTTGACTCTTAACTGCCCTCTGGGCAATTAGGGATGGGCAATAAATGCTGGCCTCACCACTGACACCCTCATTCTGTAACTAAATAAATGTTTAAAAATGTTCCTGTGTCAGTTGAACAGGAGCAAGAGATCAGGATGGAAAAGATGACCCCAGAGGGAGCATAAGGGGGGAGAAAATAGACAATCAGAGGAAGGAAGGCACAAAAAAAAAGTAACATTCTTGCTCGGATCACTGTGAACCCATGCCATCTTCAACACCATTGGGGTACTTCAATAGGCTTGGGTGGGATTGGCCAGGGAGTCTCCAGTGTTACTGGAGCTACACGTCTCCCACTTTAGGAGATGGCCACAATTTAATAATACAACCTGACCGAGGGCCAATCAAACAAAGAGAAAAAAAATTGCACTTTTTAAATCAGTGATTAAAACGAAAGGTAATCACCATAATCCTGTTTTCTCCCTGGAGAGAGAGATGAAAGGCGGTGAGCTTATCCTGAGGGTGACCACACCTCAGGCATGGGGTAAGGTTGAGAAAATGGGTAGCTCAGCTATTTGTGGCACTCTGCAGCAACTGAGCCAATGAAGACCAGCAGCTGTCTTTCTCAAAAGCACATTACAATGAGATTTTACGACAACTGACAGTGATAACATTAGACGTTTAATTCCAGATTTTGATTTAGCTCCAATTCCATCTTCTGCTCTCGTTGGCTTTGTAACTGGGTCTGCAGAATATTAGCTGGGCCCCTGGGTGACCAATAGCACTGTGCCATCGCCTCCCCAAATGAGCTGTTAAAACATTCCGTGATATAACAGTGCCCTCCGTGCTCATGTGACAGAAACTCCAACAGAGCTGCAGATAATGTCCATAAACATTGCTTGATGAAACACTTTGAGGTCTGTCTTAAACTTATGTGAACCAATGAACCCACGTAGAAAGAGTTTTATCAGTTGTATTACTCTGTTTAAAAACAGCAAAGTTTTGAACATTAGCTGAATCTATTTAGCTTAATGTTCACATTGCTAATAATTATTTGCAGGTTTACAGACTCGATGTCAGCACAATTAATGGATATGCCCCATTCTCAGCAGGAAATGCTGCAAACTTTATTAAATCCACTCCAGAAGAAGAAGACGGAATATAGTACCTCAAAGAGGACCTATGAGAGAAGGTTAGCTTGCATTAAGGTACGTTTAATATATTGTAAATACAAGACTTTAAACTTTTGTTGAAATATCCAAACCTCCTTTACGAAAGGTAAACTTGAGCATAACAACTTTACTCTAAGGTGTTTATGTAAAAGGGTTATAAACATAAACTGGTCACCAAGAAATCCTGTTGGAAATCAGGAGCAAACTCTTTACTCAGAGGGAACTCACTATCACAGGGAGTGATTGAGACAAGTCAAATCGATGCATTCAAGAGGAAGCTGATCTGATCTGATTTGATTTGATTTGATTGAATACTGTCAAGCGTACCAAGGTACAGTAAACACTTGTTTTGCATGTTTTACAAGCAGATCGTACTATACAAGTGCACCAGGGCAACAAAATAGAATGCAGGATACAATGTTACAGCTATTGAGAAGGTGCAGAGAAAGCGATCAATATTAGCATTGGAATAGTAAACAAGGGAGAAAAGAATAAAAAGTTATGTTGACAAACTGAGACAGAGTAGAGTGAGAACAGGGTCAGCTGAAGTATAAATGCTGGTATGGACCTATTTTGCTAACTGGCCCATTTCTGTGCTGCACATGCTGTTTTTGTAAGAACATTTTTCTCTTCAGAATGCAAAAGCAGCTGAGCTATGGTTCAATTTCACTTCCTCACTGGGGAAACTGATTCTTCATTCACACTGGAGAAGCTTCACAATAAACCTCAGAGGAAGCAGCTGCCTAAGAGTACCTGGGACGCTTCACAACAAACAGCTTGGCATACATGTGGTTCAAGTATAAGCAGGCTTCCTTTCTCACAACTTTTACAAGGTGACATATTTTGAGAGTACAGGGCAGAATCTGTATACCATATCACTCTCACCTCATCATGGCACTGTTTTGGAAGAAAATTCTCTGCAGTGTCCTTACAAGTGCTTATCCCTCAGTTGATCCCACGTACTCATTATCTGGTCATTGTCACATTGCTGTGTCTGGGAGCTTGCTCTGCACAAACTAACTGCTAATTTTCCTACATTGTAGTCATTTATCTCCACTACAAAATTACTTTATTGGCAGAAAAATGCTTTGTAATTTCCAGTAGTTGTAAAAATCAGAAACTATTCAAGGAACTGGTTAAATTACATCAACAACATTGTGAACAGTGTTGGGCCTCTTTTCTGAGCAAAGACATACTAGAGCAAGTTCACTTGGCTGATTCCAGGTATGGAGGAACTGTCTTATGAGGAGAGGTTGAACAGGTTTAGCCTGCACTTATTGGAGTTTACAAGGCTGTGAAAGACGAGGAAGGAAAGATCACCTTTTTTCTCGTAAGGATGTCGTTCATGACTTCGATAAGATCCAGGATGGAGATCTAACAGGAGAGACCCATAATGGTGTTGGGAATTGACATATGAGGTGACAGCACAATCTAGGACTCTGCAGAGAGGTTGAGTTATAAAGTTACAAGGATAGTGGGATCAAAGGTGTGTTCAAGGAGCTGAGGTGGAGAAGGTAAGAGTATCAACTTCCGAGGGGCGATGATAACCAATGACCTGTCGTGGACTTCCCATGTAGATGCAACAGTCAAGAAGGCCCAACAATGCCTCTTCTTCCTTAAGAAGCTTAGGAAATTTGGCCCATAAGGAGCCTCGCCAACTTCTACAGATGCACGATAGGAAGCATTCCATCCAAGTGAATAACGGTCTGGTACAGCAGGTGCTCTGCCCAGGGCCGTAAGAAACTACAGAACGTTGTGTGCACAGCCCAGGCCATTGCGGAAGCCAGCTTCCCATTCATGGGTTTCATTTACACGCGTTGTTGCCACGGAGAGCCTGCCATCATCATCAAAGACCCATCCCACCCTGGCAATGCTCTCTTCCAACCTCTTCCATCAGGCAGAAGACACATGCACCAGCAGGTTCAAGAACAGTTTCTTCCCTGCCGTTATTAGACTGACGAATGGACTCCCTAATTTCAAGTAATATTGATCCTGCTAATGTCGATACTGCTGGGCGCACCTCCTGTGCAGTGTAACCTGTATGCCTCACTCTGTCTAAGCACACCCTATGATCTGGATGTCCTTGTTTTTTATGAATGCCTGTACCACTCACAAACAAAGCTTTTCACTGTACTATGATAAATCAAATCATATCAAATATTGAGGCAAGTGGTGAGGAAATTGGATTTTAAACAGAAAGAATGCACACCATTAACAAAATCAGCTAGCAGGGGGAACAGGAGGGATTTGCGGGTGGTCAGTGGGAGTATGAGTGGGGAAGTGGGAGGTGAGTCCTATAGATTAGTTATCAAACCCAAACGGCTGGAGACTATTGGAGTCTCACCGTACATTCCTCTGTACGCCCAACACTGGCCAGGCCAGCATTTATTGCCCATCCTGAACTGTCAAGGGCAGTTGAGAGTCAACCACATAGCTGGGGATCTGGAGTTACGTGTAGGACAGACTAGATAAGATTGACCAATTTCCTTCTCTTGAAAGGACATTAGTCAACAAGGTGACAATCAGCAACAGTTTCATAGCCATCCTTAGACACGTAATTCCAAATTTTTGTTGAAGCGAAATATCCAGGATTCAAATACAGTTACAGAACATTACCTGGATCATTGAACAAATAGTCCAGTGACAATACCTCCAGGTCACCACCTCCCAACCACTCAAAGCCTTGACTCTGTTTCTCTCTCCACAGACCGAGTGAGGTTTTTCCAGCATTCTCTGGGTTTGTTTCTGGTTTATTCTGTAGTTTTGCATTCGGAGACTGTTTGGTGGTGTCGATATCAGTGGGTTCTTCTGTGTACTACAATGTAAACCTTATTCTCAAACGTATGCATGTCAGAAATCGAGAATGGCTTGAAACATGTGTCACTTCTGTCATTGAACTATAACCATTATTAATCTGGTTGTTTGAACTTTTCTCTTCCCACAGCAGCAAATAAACGAGGCAGAGCAGCATGTGAAGAAAGAGTTTGACAAACTTCACCAGTTTCTCTATAGGGAGGAGAAAACTGCCTTGCAGAAACTGAAGCAGGAAAGGAAGAGAAAGAGCCAGCTGGTGAAGAGAAAGATTGATAAGATAACTGAAGAAATAGCAGCGCTGTCCTTCACCATTCAGGAGATACAGCAATTGCTGGGGGAAGAGGACCATATCCAGATTCTCAGAGTCAGTGCCTCCTCGGACAGTGGCTTTCTGTTTTCCTGCCTTTTCCCAAAAGAACCTGACGTTGTCATTTAAGGCTCTGTCAACAGCATTCCCGATCCTGATGTGCACGGTCATGGATTCTGGTCCCACTCCAGGGTCCCAAGCAGCTCACCCAGGTTGACCCTGCAGGGCAGTACAGAGGGAGCACTGCACTGGCCTTTGGATGTGACAGTGCACCAAGTCACAGTTGGGTGGATGTAGAAAGACCCCGTTTGAGAAATTTACTGCAGGGGGAAAACTGGACTTGCGAGACTGAGCAACTGGCATTGGTTACTCCGTTCTTGTGCCATCCACACGGTTGAATAGCCAGTGGACTTTAGGCTCAGGCTTGACGAATGACCGTGAGTCTTAAGTCCCAGTGAGGGATCAATGTCTTCAGAAGAAGGGGGCAGGGGGAAGAGAGAGAGAGAGACAAGACAGAAAATGAGAAAGCTTATATCTGCTGGAGTTTTGAAGCGATGACTTGATTGAAATGTTTAAGATCCTCAGGGGTCTTGACGAGGCGGATGTGGAGAGGAGGTTTCCTCTTTTTGGAGGAAATCTAGAACTAAGGGTCATAGTTTGAAAATAAGGGGAGGCCTGTTCACAGTAGAGAGGAGCAGAAGCTTCTTCTTTCAGAGGCCTGTGAGTGTTTCGAACCCTCTCCTTGAAAAAGGGATGGGAGCAGAGTCCTTAAATATTTTTAAGGCAGAGACAGATAGAGTCATGATAAACAAGACAATGTTATCAGGGCTAGGTGGAAATGTAGAGTAATCAGATCAACCATGATCTCATTCAATGGAGCAGCAGACTTGATGGGCTGAGTGGCCTACACCTACATTCATATCAAGGATCTATTCTGTTCTTGTGAAAATATGATACACACTGTCCTTCGAAACAGATTATTTTACACAAGGAGTATCTGAATGTATAATGGAATTACAGTTGACTACATTGTGAGCTGCACTGTAAGATACCGTCGTTTTTCAGTCATATCAAATCATTAAATTCACACTGTCAGGCTAAAGGGCTAGTTTTACTATTTAAATTCTGAAAACCTGCTATTGATCTGAATCACAGAATCCCTACACTGTGAAAGCAGGCCATTCAGTCCACACCAACCTTCTGAAGAGCATCCCATCCAGACCCACCTCATTACTCCACATTCCCAATGGCTAATCCACTTAGCCTGCACATCTTTGGATTGTGGGAGAGGACGAGAGAAAACCCAGTCAGGGGGAGAATGTGCAAACTCCAGTTGCCAGAGGGTGGAATCAAACCCTGTTTCCTGGCGCTGTGAGGCAGCGGCGCTAACCACTGTGCCACCCTTAAATCTATGCTATGTTTGTAACAGAAAGTTCTAAAGATTAATTACTATCTTTTGCTTCATTTAGAGATATCCAGAAGTGGAGAAAATTTACAGGTAAATACACTTAAAGAGAATCTATTTTTATTCTCTTATTTTAAATTGCTCATAATTTGTAACAAAAACACTGCTGTTATCTTGCACTGCTCTCTTTGTGTAGAATAAAGGGACCCACCCCCATTCCAGTGAAGGCTGGTCCTATTGTCAATGTAGGGAAGGCCATTGGATCTCTGCAATACAGAGTCTGGAAGAAGATGTTGACAGTGATTACCACAGGTTAGTGCTATCCAGGAACAGACAGAGAAAGTTCCAATTGCTCAGCTCACCAACTCCCTTCTGGAAGTGGTAGGAGCTGTAGTGAGGTGAGACTGACCGACCTTGACATCAAAGTGACAATTAGCCAAGTGTAGCATCAACAGACTGGAGTCAATGGGAATGAGGGGAAAACTCTCCATGAGTTGGAGTAATATCTGAAACCAAGGAAGATGGGTTATGGTTGTTGAAGGTCAGTCATCAAAGCTCCAACACATCTCTGCATTAGTTCCTACAGAGAGTGCGCTAGGCTCAGCTGCTCCACCTGTACAAGGTGCTGGTGAGACCATATCTAGAATACTTTAAGCAGTTTTCTTCAAGCTTTTCTGATGAAGGGTCTAGGCCCGAAACGTCAGCCTCTCTGCTCCTATGATGCTGCTTGGCCTGCTGTGTTCATCCAGCCCTGCACCTTGTTATCTCTCTTCTTCAAGCAATCCTTGTTTACGGCATTTCATTGGAGGTACAGTCAGAGAAGGTTCATGAGGATGATCCCTGGTATGGAGGGATTGTCTTAAGAGCAAAGGCTAAACAGTTTCGGACTCTACTCACTGGAGTTTAGAAGAACGAGAGGTGATCTCATTGAAACATATCAGATTCTTGAGGGGCTTGATAGGTAAGTGTTGAGCGGATGTTTCCCCTCATGGGAGAGTCTAGGTGCAGAGGGCATAGGCTCAGAGTAAAGGGGCACCAATTGAAGACTGAGATGGGGAGGAATTTCTTCTCGTAGAGGGTTGAGTGTCTTTGGAACTCCTTGCCACAGAGAGCTGTGGGGGGACAGAGTCCTTGGTATTTTGAGGCTGAGATAAATAGATTCTTATCGGGGAATCAACAGCCATGGGGAAAGCACAGGCAAGTGGACGTGAGGAGTGTCAGATCAGCTGTGAACCTACTGAATAGCGGAGCTGGCTCGAGGGGCTGAATGGTCTACTCCTATCCTGATTTCCTATGGTCTGACAGACCTCCCCTTCATCATAAGGTCAGAAGTGGGATGGTCAGGTATGATTGCACAGTGTTCAGCATCATTCATGACTCCTCAGATTCTGAAGCAGTCCATGATCAGGTGCACCACGGACAATACCCAGGCTTGCTTTAATAAGTGGTAATTAACTTTTGAACCACCCAAGTACCAGGAAACGACCATTCCCAACAAGAGAGGATCCAACCCATCCCCCCCTGGACACATAGTGGCGTTACCACTGCTGAAGCTACAGCATTACCACCAAGGAAGTCACCATTGACCAGTTTGGGCAGGCCTCATAAATACTGTGCTCGCAAGAGCAAGTCAGGAGTTAAGAATTACATGTTGAGAAACTCACTGCCTGAGTCCCCAAAGCCCTACAAGGTGATGGAATACTCCCCACTTGCCTGGATGGGTGCAGCTCCAACAACACTCAAGGTGCTTGACACCATCTAGGATGAAGGAGCCCGCGCTTGGTTGACACCCCATCACTACCGTAACCATTCATTCCACTGATACTCTGGAGCAATGGAATGAACTGCCTACAAGATATGCTGCAGCAACTCACCAAAACACCTTCTATGGACTTCTACCAACCAGAAGGACAAGGGCAGCACCACTACCTGCAAGTTCTCCTCCAAGCCACTCACTGTGGAAATATATCACTATTCCTTCAGTGTCACTAGCTCTAAATCCAGGAACTCCCTCTCTAATAGCACTGTGGCGTCTATATGTCCCATGGGCTGGAGTGGTTCAAGAAGGCAGTTCACCACATAGTCTCCGGGGCAACTCCAGGTTGGCAATAAATGCTGACTTGGCCTGTGACAGAAGCGAATAGATTATTGGGGAATCAGAAGCTATTTACTGAAGCTCAATGAGCCCCAGTGTAACTGAGGGTGGGAGTAACATTGCCTTGTTTCTGTCTATCATCTCATTGTCAGTCTTACTCATCAGCCTCTCAGAGAGTTAACAGTTTTTGTTTAATTCTATTCTCTCAGCTCCAGTGACCTTAGACCCTTGTACAGCTCATCCTTACCTCCTCCTGTCTGAAGAGTTCACAAGTGTGAGGCACACCACGAAAAGACAGCAGTCACTCTCGGACTCCCCAGAGAGATTCGATCCTTGCCTGTGCATCCTGGGACGTGAGGGATTCACATCTGGGAAACACCACTGGGAGGTGATGGTGGGACAAAAGACTGAATGGGATTTGGGTGTGGTCAGAGAGTCTATCAACAGGAAGGAAGCCATTGATCTGAATCCAGACACAGGAGGCTGGATAATCGCGTTGAGAAATGGATACCAGTACAGAGCTGCTACCAAGACGTGGAAACATTTAGATCTGAGGGAGAAGCCGACGAAGATCCGAGTCTCTCTGGATTATGAGGGAGGGAAGGTGACCTTTTATAACGCAGAGAGCAAGACCCATATCTACACTTTCACTGCAACTTTCACTGAGAAACTCTATCCCTTCTTCAGTCCTGGTCACAACGACGGGGGTAGAAATGCCGAACCGCTAAAAATCTGTCCTCGGACAATAATAATCCAGGAGGAATAGAATTTTTGTTTGAATCAAAGGGAAATTCTGCAGATTGTGGAAATCAGAAATAAAAGCAGAAACTGCAGTGGACCAGGCAGCATCTGTGGAGAGAGGGATGACATTAATCTTTCAGAAACTGCAGTCATTTGACAACTTTACTCTTTAATGACAGCTTCCTTTTTCTCTTGCCATGTACACTTCCTGCACTTCTATCTTTTGTTTCTGTGCCTGTCCTGTTTCTATCCCACTTAGACTGGGCCCATCATTGTTTCCACTATCTCCTGTCTCCCATCCTATCACAGTGCCTGAAATAACTCCAGAGAGGCCTGTATCCTGTTACCAAGTCACCCTGTATTTACCGTGGAGAGTCTGTGACACTGCTCCAGCTCCCTCAGGGCCAGGTCCCAGAGTGTACAGAATCTCTGACATTCCTATTTATTATCTGTCAGCCAGGGGTCCCTGATTGTACCAGATTAACAACCCCAAACAGGGAACTCATATTTTTTGAGGTCCACCGAGCAGACCTTGTTACAATCTCTACGTTATCCCCTTCTATGTGTCCCTCCCTCCGTACCTATCTAAAGCATGCTACCCTCTAACATCTTCTAGCATTGATGAAGAGCTAAGCCTGTTTCCCTCTCTCTGCAGATGCTGAGTATTTCCAGCATTTGATGTTTTTATTTTAGGATCATTTATTTTTAAAGTTGATCAAGGCTGATGAAGGGATAGCTATATGCACTTTTTCAGGATCTTTCTATAAGTATCTGAGTGATCCTTCTTATCTCCTGCAAATTCCAGAATTTAGGAAACTAACGTATAAGCAATCATTTGTTTTTAATATTGTGATAAAGGAATATATGTTAGAGAACATTGTGTAAAATAATTCTAACGGGTTTATATTAATATCTGGACATCTATTAGTTCTCAAAGAATGACACAGCACAGAAGAATCTCCCATACTTATTGTCTTTTCTAGTTCTTTAGAAGACCATTATATTAGTTGACTCTCCTGGCCTTTTCCCTTATAGTCCTGAAAATGTTTCCCCTTCAAGTAATAACCCAGTTATTTTTTTGAAAATTAGACTTACAGTTTTTAACCTTGACTGTGGCTGTGTGCCTCCAGCCAATGTCACCTTGCTGAATAATTTTACCGATGAGAGGCTCCAAGACATTTTCAGAGTTTCTTCCTTATTTGTCTATGCAATGTGGGACATTGAGAATTTGCAGCATCTCTAAACGCACTTGAATATGATTTTCAGAAACCTGGCATTCGCATGCTATTTTTTGGGGGGTGTGGGTGAGAGGTGGCTAAAAGAGGGAGCAGTTATTCTGTACAACAGAAGCTGTTCAAAACCTGTGTCCTTGTTTGAAGTTATGTCAGGGCAGAAATTGGTACTGAATATCCCAACCTCACCAATAATACAGAAATTGTAACAAGCAAAAGCCACAAAGAGTTGAGTGACGGGAGTAATTTTAACCAAGCTCTCTAGGCAGGGACTTCACAGTTTTGGATAGAATCCTGGTTGAGTTCAATTTGGAAGGAGTATTCGATTCGGACTGTTTTACCCAATCTCTTATGATTCTTGACTGGCAAATCAGATCAAAATTAACTCCTCACGGAATTTACACACTGAATAAGTGTATATTGAAAGAAAGATATCTTTATTCAACGTTTGTGAAGAAAATTATCTCCCAGTTCTTTTGTGTGTTTAATGTGTAGGAGTGGGTTTGCTCATTTCTCCACAAAGATTGGACCATCCTTCAGTCAGTTCAGGAGGATAAAGTCAATGGGTTTGCAAGCAATGAAAGTAGCTGTACTCCTGTCACCAGGAAGAGGAGTCTTACTGTGCCTTTTACTGTTCTTAAAACAAAATAAAGGAAAATGCAAGGAAGAAAATCCTTTAATCAGCTCTCTATGTCATAGTTCAGTCTAAGGATTTACTAAGATGTTTATATCTCCTGATTATTAAGCTTTTTCCTCTTATAGTTCTTTCATGGGATGAGGGTGTCATTGAGAAGGACAGTATTTGTTGCTTGTCCCTGATTGACCTGGAACTGATCTGGACTATCTCAGAGGCTGGACCAGAGTCACCCATGTCACTATGAGTCTGGAGTCATGTGCAGACCATCCCAGGGAAGGGCTGCAGATTTCCTTCCCGAAATGGGCCATTAGTGAACCAGATGGGTTTTTACAGCAATCATTCCATGGTCAATATTGCTGAAGATTATCATGATATCTCGGATGTATTCATTGCGTTTAAATTCTAGTTGCCCAGATGGAGTTTGGACCTGTGTCCCCACAGCACTAGCCTGGGCCTCTGGATTCTTAATCCAGTCACATCACCCTTATGCCCCTGCTTCATTTGCATAATACGTAACATTTTGTATGGGTGTCACCCTCATACCTCTTTATTTACATTGT